TAGAAAAATCCTGGGAATGGCTCGAGATGAACCCATCGACGAATACTATAATCGAGTTTCCTTATGATGACATAGAGCTGTTCAGGAACTTCCCAGATACTTTCTGATCTTTTCCCTATGGTTTTCTCTTTTGTTCTTTTTTTTTCATTTCTCTTTTTTCTCTTTTTTCTCTTGTCTCATTTCCTTGCGTTTCTCTTTTATTCTCCCTTTCTCGTTTTTCTATCTTCGCTGGTTCTCTCATTATTTTTTTTTAATGTATTTGTATCGGTACTGTTAGGCCTCTCCAGGCACATTTTATCTTCTCGCTCCTTCTTCTCGCTCTCTCTTCAAACTGCCAAATAAAAAAAATTGAATTTACATCGCTAATGGACATCCATGTATATGACAACACATAATCTCGCACTGAATAGTATGCAATTTTTCTCTGTATCTTCTTCTCATCATATGTCTTTTTCTTTCTGTTTCTCTCTCTTCTATTTATATTTTCCTTATTCTCTCGCTGATATATAAGCTCGCGCTATATGTGAAATAAGAGAGCATTTTTTAGTTTGAGTTGTTCGTGGAAAGGTACTCTAAATTTAAATGTGTCGCAGGTTCAGTGTCGGAAATATGTCGCAACAGAATGTGTCGCTGATAAATTTGTCTCGTTCTTTGTGACGACTATCAATTCACCCTTTTCTTTGGCGTATAAGTCTCTATATAGAGAACCGAATTGAACATACGAAGATGATGTCTTTTCATTCAAATATTTTCAGATTACTTCTCGATTATTACTTAGTCGAGAGCATGCCTATCTTGATGATTGATCGAGGTAGGACTACCCTGAAATGGTCTGGTACAAAACCGGACCAACTCAATACCGAACAGATCTTAACATCTAACCTGCTTGAGTTCTCAGAATGTGTCGTACAAAATGTGTTGTGCCATCGCTGGAGATAATATGTCGCAAAGAGCACATTGTGTCGCACTTGAATGTGTCGCAAATCGCGACACATGCGACACATTTTAACTTAGTGTGGAGTTCGCTAGAAATAGTTAGTAGTAGAACGTAGTCGGAAAGTAGTTAGACGTGACTTGAATTGAGAAACATACACATAGAATTAGTGTGTGTACAAAAAATCTTATTCTGTGTAATTGCTGTGTGTAATACATACATATGTTATGATTAGTGGTATTGTTGTCTTATTTGTTCTGTTCATTATAAACTATTTATAAAATAAATCATTACAACTGGGTATTACCCAGACATTGTTAGTTATAATACTTGTAGTCCTCCACAATTTATTATTCACTATCTTATATCGGTATATACGCAATTCTATATATCCGGATATTCCTACCACGGATATTAATTAAGTTCGTTACACTGAGCAAAACACTCTTATGTGAAAAAACATCCCCGTCGTCGTATTCAACTGTCAGAATCGGAGAAAACAATCAATCAAACAGCAATTAGGGGTGTGCAGTGTCGGTGTACACTGTAAAAAATAGGCGTAGATTAGTAAACCCTTTCATATACCCTTTTTAGCATTTATCAATATTATAAACCTTTTCATATACCCTTCCGGTTCATCAACCCTGGGAAGGCTTTGATACACGTTGCACTTTCATAAACCCTATAGGGTATATGAGCGGTAATATACTTTTAAAAGGTCGATAAAACTTATCTACACTTCAGAAAAGCATTTTTTACTCTACGAATTTTTCTAAAGAGTAGATCGATATACGCTTTTCTGAAGGGTTTATGAATTTTATCAACCTTTTAAAGGTATATTACCGTTGATATACCCTAAAGGGTTTATCAAAGTGCGCCGTATAGCAAACCCTTTCTGGGGTTCATGAACCGAAAAGGTATATGAAAGGGTTTATAAAGTTCATAAACGCTTTTCCAGGGTTTACTAATCTACGCCTATTTTTTACAGTGTAGTCAGTGCTCTGCTGGGGAACAGTGCCGGTGTAATCGGTGCTCTGCTGGGGAACAGTGCCGGTGTAGTCGGTGCTCCACTGGACACACTGTCGATGCAAGTCGGTGGTCAATATACCGACGCTGCACATCCCTAACAGCAATCAATTCATTTTTCCTGAGCTTTGAGAAATGAAATTATTATAGTTTGACTCTGTAGAAAAGTCACTTTTCATTTTGAAAAGTCTTTTGTAAGCTAGAATCCGCCTTATTTGTCTAGATTTGAAATTGTTCGGAGTTTCAAAACCAAATGTTTCAAATTTCCTGAGGCCAATCCTTTCTTGACTAGCTACATGAAGTGGTAATCATTCAAACTAACACTTACTGGTTGACGCTGTCATCGTTGCTGCTGTCACCATTGCTGCTGTCACCGTTGTTGCTGTCGTCGACTTTGGCATACCTATAACCGAAAGAGAATTCGTGACAAGAGTTGATCGTAAGAAGAGTTTGTAACAGTTCGCGCAAAAATGTTCTATTTTTGTTGAGAAGGATACATGCAAAAGTTACTGTTTGGTCGATTTTTACCCTCACATGGTACGTGTTACCGTCATCTGTAATGTAAATGTTTGGTAACAGGCTTTTTCGTAGAGCATTGATGCAGAACAGATTTACTCGTCAAAATTGTTCTCTACGCTATTATGAATTTGGTATAAGCTCGGGGGAGGCGATGGGGGGTTCTGTTACTTTACCAAGTAACTCGTAACGGGAATCACCCAAGTAAGCAAAAAATGAAGGAAGACTGCCGACATGACTAGTCAGAAATGTCCGCAGCTGCCGCCAAGTCTACTCTGAAACGTCTTGTATACCCGTCTTGTCTAGTCAGCTTAATGAGGAGTGTCTTACAAACACGTCTGTACTAGTCTGAAATGTCCTTGAGCCCAGTCACGCCTAGTCCGTGTTGTCTGTTGACCTAGTCCAGACTAGTAAGAAGATTAAAAACAGAGGTTACACGGTGGATTTGACATCCAGTCCGACAGTGTTCGAGATATGACGGATATCCTGATGGGAGACTAGGATACTGAAATAGACTGCCGTAAGTATATATATAGTCTAAACTTATATATTGGCTCCCATCCATGCATAGCAAATGAGAAACAAACCGACGTAAACGGTATTGACTAGCCTGAAGCATCTTTTGGACACCTCGTGACTAGTCCGTTTTTTAGAAGTGTTTATTTTACTCAATGCTTGTCAAATTTTTTTCTACCTAGAAGGACAATTAAAGAATCTGCTGTAATCAATAGTGCATTCGAAAAGATTTAATATATTGCATGCATCCCTGTCTTGATATATTCTATTTTATTTTGCATTAGCATATGCTAAAAGTTTAAGAGTGTGTCAAAACATAAAATAGTAGGGGTTAGTACTAACAACAAAATTCATCTCGTATCTGGGAGTGCTAATTTATATTTTTTTTTCAAAATAAGAGATGTACTAACTTTTAAAAAATTGAGAAGCATCTAAATCTTTTCATATAATACTATTATGTTAGTTTATTTTAAATATCAATTCTAATAATTTAAAATAAACCAAAAATAATTTAATTATTAGATGAATATGCGGTGATTTAAATTTAAAGCTAACCTAAAAAATACTATGAAAAAAATTAGTTTCTTCCCGGTATAAATTATTTTTATTTTTATACTCAAATTAATGTTTTTAAAACCCAACTAATTAATCGCACTTGCTTATAAATCAAAATATATTTATCGAAAAAATTATAAAATCTTCTTAATTTATTTTTATTTAATGTTATCCAAAGTAATTGCGTTTCGGTAAAAGATAATTTTTATTGATACATAAAATTAAAAATTCAGAGTAAAAATTGTATTAAATAACATCTTAGAATGATCATGAGTGTGTAGAATATGACTTTACGATCATATGGCTCAATGGTCATGGCGACGGGTAAATGTTACATTGTATACATGTTCGAATCTAATCTTCATCCTTACATATTTTCATTCAGACTAGTCCAGACTCGTCCACTATATAAGGCTCCAGCTGGTTGTATACTCGTCCCAGACGCCCATAATTTTTCATTCATAAACCATTTTCGGACGGGCGACACGGACACTCGTCACGACTACTCTTATTAGATTTTATGACTAGTCGTCAATCAGAGTACTAGGACGCGTATGCATGACGGATAAAAACTCGGACTAGTTGTGGACGAGTAGTTTTTGAGACAAAGACTAGACGGGACGGGTCGACTTGACTAGAAAAAAGACTAGTCATTTAACCAGTCTTTTGCTCACTTGAGCAGTTATTGTTACCAGGCAATGTAAATGTTCAGTAACAGTTTCACTAGTTGTAACATCTGAATAGCTTATTTTGTTCAGTTACCGGTACTCTTATGTTCTGGCATATTGTGCGAAAACTGTGATTGATCTGCTAAAGGACTAGGAGATCCAACTTTTCGGAAGCAGTTTTTGATGAATTTCATAAGAATCGGTGAGCTGTCAAAAGTCAGGTTCGGGTAATTTTTCAACCAAATACGCTAAAACTTGAGAGTTATAGGTTTTAGACATTGCCAATTCAGATTCACATGTTAAATAAAAAAAAGTAAATAGTGACCGGTGCCTGAGTCGACGCATACATTCTCTGTTAAAACTCAACTGATGCTTACACGCAATTCTGCTTTCATGGATTTTTCTAGTCTTTTCTTTAAAATAAATCAAAGCCTCTAGTTCAAAATGTTTAGTGGCTTTTAACCGGAAAACTACTGTTCAGGTTAATCGAGATGTATCAAATACACGTGAGCGTTGCAAAAGAATTTTATGTAGTACGATAAAATGAATGGCTAATAATGAAGTGAGATCGAGGTTACACCTTAACGAGAGACACGTGACTTCACTTTTAGACTACTTATAAACTAAAGCTAAATGCCATGGATATTTAACATCCTACTATTTTTAGTTTTAATGTCTAACTTATCAATAATATAGCATTATATTAATATTTCTAAACGGTCACTTAGAACATCAGCTAAACAATAAATTTCTTCGAGATCATCTTCACTATTTTCTCTACTATTCTATTTCATTTCAAATATTTCAATTATACCTTCGGTTACATCACCTAAAAAACCACACATACGATAGACTGTATGCATCGGTTCATGATCACTCGATGATGTATTCACCACTGCTGCTTGATCACCACCAATCGATGGTACTATTTGATGTGAATTGATAAATAATAACTAAACTTTCCTATACACATCACGAACATTTAAACATAAGTTATTGATTTTATTCGCCACTAATAATTCCATTCCATTGTCATCTTTAAATAAAGCAATTAATTCCCAATCAATACAGATTTTATTCTTAATATCACGCATTAATGGACCCATTGCTGGATTATCAATATCGTGTGGATTATCCATCATTCTTTATTGATGAAAATCTTCTTGATTTGGATCTTTTCTCACAACCATAAAGAATTCTTTATTGCCTTGCATGATCTCATCTGAATAGTTCCAATTATACAGGGTGGTCCATAAGTAACGCAACAATAAGAAATGCGTATAACTCCGTTACTAACCAAGCTTTATCGAATATTTTTGTTTTTGTTTGAAAGAGAAGAGCATACAAAGGTAACAGTTCTGAAGATACTGAAAGTAAGTATATGATTCTAAAACTCTCGAAGGGTTTCTAGTGGTACAACTGGAAGCACATATTGATTTTCCAAGAGTAGCATGTCTTCATGCGCTGGTAAGGTTTTTAAGGTCCGGAATCTGTTGTTAAAAACTACGAAGGTATTCACAGTAAATCATGGAAGTGCGACACTTTCTTAATTGGACTGAACCAACTTTGATGCAAATCAAAAAGGGTTTTATAAAATATCCACTGAACCCCTTTTTAGCCAGAACCTTTTTTGAAGGTTCTGTCTTTTACCCGATCGCAGAACCCATAAAAAGGTTCTGGAAAACACCTTTTTTTTTTCAGAGTAGTAATGGTACGTGATGGCTGTTTGGTCAACATCTGTATTGGTTTTCACGTCAACATTGTTGGTCTGAAATTGTTTCACATTGAAAACCGATCCTGGAGCTGTGTGTTCAACGCAAGAAGAAAAAAGAGTTTCCGCTGCTGGTCAAGAAGAAACGACGTAATTAATGTACTTAATGAATTCTATTTGAAAAGTGCAGGAAGTGTTTGTAGAATGGTCAACAGGGAATAAATTGACATCCACTCGGATTCTATTAAAGGAAACAACAGTTGATGTGTTTCTGGATCGACACAGTTGGATTTCTTATACGGAGGCAGCAAAAAGAGTGTGGGGGGAGTCGAGGGATACCATTTCGGAATCTTCACATCTACAACTATGTTCAGTGCGACCACATGAACTTTGAATTGCAATGGAGTATCGGCATTCAATTGAAATTTGATGTCTCCACGCTTCACCAATTCTTCACATTCTTGTAAATCGGATTGTAAACGCAATTCTCCAGCTGAGCGAGCAATGCGGCACTTTTTAAAGGATTCTACAACATCCTCGTCGGTCTTGCGTTTGCGAAACATTTAACGGTCAGATGTCCGTTAAAAGGCCGCAATTTTTAACATTGTTACATTTTGATTTTCAATTCCCTACACTAGTTACAAATCCAAATAACCATCTATGATGCCTACAAACTATAAAATAACTGGTCGTGATGTCTATTTACTCGTAAAATAACTATTCGTGATTTAAAACATGAAATGGGCAAATTTCCGATTGCACAGTCGCATGGCCGATGCACATTCACTGGCTTTGATCAGATGTTCTCCTTTATTGTTTTCTTCTCCACATTGTTTAAACATACGCAAAATGCGTCGTTTGTCCAATTTTGGATCTAAACTCAACACCATATTCGGAAATTCTACACGTCTTAGAATTGGTAAAAAATGATTTAAAATGATAGATATGTTTATATGTTTTCTAAAATTAATATATAATAATGAAAATCAATTAAGTAATAAAACAATAAAATATGAGGATACCATATTTTATAGATATAAGAATGAAGAATAGAAAGAAGTAGAAAGTAAAGACTAGGGGTCCTTAGAGAGTCATAACTCGTGAAGGAGAGCTCGGATCATAGAAATTTATTAGCTTATTTGGTTGCTAATGAGCAGCTCTTTAAATCATTTAAAATCGTCCAAGGGTTTTAAAATTGTCTTTGAAGTCTATTTTCTCAAAAAATAATTTTGGCAACGATGGGCCTTTACAGGCGACAGTTGTTCTTATTTTTTATATAATACGGACAATTTAAACAATGGTAAATTTAAAGAATTGTATACGTTTATAATTAACTAAGCCTTTAACATATTATACTCAATTTCGCATAATATGAGTCGTTGACGGAGCAAAGTGACCCGCTTTTGCCTGAAACAGTTTTCAAGGAATGATGCATTTTGTCTAAAATTCATGAAAATTGGATGAAAGATTATTATTATAGCCGAGGAAATAAGGTTTATCGAGCTTTTCTTCGATTTCTTACATCATATTGAACTTGATGTGATTAAGGAATCTTCAATTCAATAAGTCAAAAATCTGGTGTCAATTCGGGGTCGGTTTCCTTTATCACCGCCCCCATACAAACATCAAGTGATTCTGATGGCTTTCGGTGGACGCTCGCGGCAATCGTATCAATGCAAGACTCGGAATGAAGGTCTCAAAATGTATTAAGACAAAAACTTGGAGCCTGTGCTGAATGCAGCGGGCAAGGTCGGATGTGAACTTTCGGAATCAAATGGTTCTGCAGAGAATCCACCTCCCTTCTTTGCCATTCGACGCGTGAAAAACACTCCCATATCTCGGTTGGCTTCCACTCGTGGATTATTTTGATACACTGGAGTAACAGAATGAGACAATTCATTGTCTACAAAAAGTAGCGTATCCAAATAGTTCAAGTGCTGGACGGCTTCAATGATATTGTTTGGATCTGCCTCATGATGCTGGACTCCAATTTCTTGATTCAAATTATAAAGCGTAGACACAGCCGAGTCCTTTCTCATATTATTCGAGTTGAACATTGTTGTCATGGTAAACTCCACTCCATCTTGATGAATTCCTTCCGCAGCAGGTTCTCCCAACAGATCTGCCGTTGTTCGAGTGCGAAGAAAGAAACCACAAGTGTTCCAGTTGCGTTGGCTATCACATCCAGGGCGTGGAAGACTTGGTGTGTCCTTCATCATAAAGTATTTGAATCGCATCAGGGCTTGAAGGGTAGTATTCTGCATGACCCAATCCTGTGCTTCTCCAAAGAATCGATACAAACCGGCATCATGTCGCTTGAATCCTTCTTTGGCAGTGAGTACACAAGGCTCTCGACGCACTCCCCATGCGATATTCTTTGATTGATCCATTCCAAGCCGGTACATGGAGGATTTGCGATACTTCAAANGCCGCGTGTACTGCCCGTACGACACCAGTTATCCTTGACCCTCTCACCCTCACCCTCACCCTCATACCTCGTGAACACACAGCGCGGGAACGGGCTAAGGATAGACGGAAGAAAGACGATTGATAGCAATAGTTCATGTATGAAAAAAGAAAGTGATCAGAGACTAAGAGTACACTTTTCGAGATTTACTTTTAAAAGTTCGATTGCTTCAGTTTTTTCTGTTCGAGATTTGACTTTTTCGGGGTTTTCAAGGGGGAAACAGCTGATTAAATTGATTTTCAATCAATTTTTAATCAAAAAAAAATCGAATTAATCGCAAAATCAATCAAAACCAGGAGTTGTTTTCATCGTTTTTTCCGATATATCAATTATTTTATTACATTATTTACATATACGAAGCCTGCTTTCTGCTTCTAAGACCTCTTATCCAATTTTAAAATATTAAAAGTCATATTATAGATGCATACAGTATTTGTGAAAATGCCAACACTCGTTGACATTTATTCTCTTGAGTTGTCCGTTTTGTCGAGAGCAGAGAATTGATGTAAAACGACTGCAGACAACGAAATTCCGAATTTTGACCAAATGTAATTGCTTATATCAGTGGCGCAACTAGGATTTATTAACCAATGGGCAAACTTCATTTGTCTCAGAAAAAGCGGTGGGCGAAATGGGCAGGATTTTTATTGATGGGCAAAACAAAATGCTAATAACGTAAAAGAAATTAAAAATATTAAATGAGGTCCTTCTAAAAAGGTATGCATAAGAGTATCAGTTTTGGGTTTCCTTTATCGAGAACCCGGAGTCTCATGAAGACTCCTGTTCCTGTGAACCTGATACTCTGTGATAGTTTCTAGAGATACGCACAGATCTGTATATTCCTGAACTCGTTGACAACAGTATTCAAAAACATACTTACTTTTCAATAGTAACTCAGGAAATATTGCGAGCAACTTTGAAATACAGTGACTGTCAAAATTATTCTTTCACCCCTGCTGTATCACTTTACCCTCTGTGTTATTAAAGAAAGATAAATATTCAAGAGATCATATTTCTACCATCGTATAATCCATGATATCAAATGATATTTATAAGGAGTTAGATCAACTTATAAAAAGACAGGTTCTACTTAAACTATTGACTATTGTCTGTGCAGCATATTATGTAGCAAAATAGAGACTTTTCTTATCTATTCTATTAACTTATTTCAAGTTAAATATAGTATCTAGTCCTTTTGAGTAAAAATCAACGCACGGAAAGCTTTCACTTATAGCAACTACAACTAAAACTGGAGATTTATTTTAATCTGGGTGAATAATTTTGAACTGTTAAAAGAAACCCATATTTTATCATTTTTGAAATAAATATAGACGAATGTATAGCAAAGTCTGAAATTATTTACACATAGATTCGATATCATAGAGTATACCATAGTGGAAATGTGATCTCTTTAATATTTATATTTCTTTAATAACACATAAGGTGAAGTAACGCAGTAAGGGCGGGTGAATAATTTTGACAGCCATTGTGAATAGAAAGTTTATTTTTGTTTGGAAACGAAACCACGTACCACATCCTTAAGAATACAAACTACTATGTAGTCGAGGATTCTAGCTCACAAAAATCCAGATAAAGCGCCGGGTTCCGAGAGCGAGAACGCTATGAGGATTCCATGTTATCGGGAACGGGCACTCAAATAGTCGAATAAAACTGGTTGAAAATGAAGAAATCTGATTAAAATTTGGTCGAGCTCCAACCTTTTCAATAGATTTTTTGTTACCAAAAATCGATTTTAAAATGATTTTTTGCCACTTTCTTTTTACCAGAAGAGCGCATATGTGATACAGACCAGAAAAAATTGATACCTCATCAAAAAATTAAAAAACAATTTCCAAAAAAGTAAAATTTTAATTGGCAAAAACTTCCTGATAAAAACTTCGATGGGCAGACCTCCAAATGAAATGGGCAATTGCCCATTTGCTTCCCCTGGTTGCGCCACTGGCTTATATTAAATAAAGAAATAAATATACCATTATATCTGCCGGCTTTGGTTGAGTTGGATTATTAAAACGCCGAAAGACGAGCTGGACGGTAGTCAATCACAACTTTTTGATTCTGGTTCGTTAAAGTCTCGACGAAAGGCCAAGCGACCGTTTTTTTGTAACGAATCCTGCTTATATGGCAAGATTACAAACGTATCATTTGTTTCGAGTGAGGTTGATGATCGGTATATTCTTTAGGTGTAAAAGTCGTCCCAGAAGAAAACATTTATTTTTCTCGGAGCAGATATTATTCAATAAAAGAAATTAACCGGTTATTTTGATATTTATGTCACATTATCGACTGTAAATAGAATTTGAGATATCTTAAATGAAATACTTTTAAAAGTTTCAGTTCATTTTTTATTACTACTCGAATTAGAATAAAATAGTCACCCTAGTTTTGATCATTTTCTAAAACGTTTTTCTCGTTGAAATCCGTATCATTATATATTGTTTTTTATTACTTAGTCCACTGAAATAAATACGCATATAATGACCTATATTACTCTTCTCGCTATTACCAATCAATTACCTCTGGAAACTCTTCGCATTTGGTTATTTAGCTCGCAAACAAGTGAAGAAACATTCTGCGCAGCTCGATCAATGTCGGGATCCTTTTCATCGGTTGTAAACTTTTCTGTGGCTGACTTTTTACGTCGAGCAAAGAAGCTGTCCGTTTTTTAGTCCATCAAGAGTGAAGCCGAATCTGATCCAAGTTTTCCTTTTCGATTTCCTCGTCACCAAAAACAAAAGAAACTAGGAAGAAACTTCGCAGCTAATGTACGCATTTCTACGTCCCTTTCTAGCAATGAAATCAAACAAATAGTTCAATGTGCATTTGCCGATGCATGCGCACTTGTAGCACCTCTAGGTATCAATACTTTAGACAAACATGGAAATCCAATAACGCTGGATGAAGTGAGTGTTATCGTTAAAGCCCATTTACAAAAGACAACAAGAATTAATGATGACAGCCAAGAAGAAGCTTCAGATTCCAGTTCAGAATCAGATAATGAAGCGAGTGATCGTAAAGCTGAGTACAGTGCAGCATCATCAGACTCTAATAACGATCAAGAAGAGTCTGATTCAGAATGCTTATCGAACGTTAGCAACTGTACATTTCGTGGTATGCGCATTTATGACACCGTCAAACTCTCTCTTTCTCAGTCGTATTTTAAAGTTTCAATCAATGGACAAACAAAAATTTTACATAAACAAACAACTTGCTGGTTGTTAATGCATGATAAAACAACACTTTCATCGGATCGTACAACGCGTGTTATGAACAAATGATAACATCATTTTTTGTCTTTTTTAAAATAAAATCTAAAAAATTTAGTGAATCGAACCGTTTGATATTTATCTCGCATAATCAATATAGTAGATTCGGTGTGTTTGAAACGTAAGATGGTACTGTTTTATTTAATTGATTGTCAGACTTATTTGAAAATTCAATAAAAACTGGCAAAGTAACCGGATCTGTACTAAATATAATGCAGCGAAACTTGTTATAAAGCATTTAATCCATGCAATACTAAACTTAATGTTAGAGAAATTGATTTAACTAACGCGTAGCTCATCTAAATTGTGTTAAAACCTAAGATAATACGTAGCATCCATATGCAAACATTATTACAACTAGTTTTTTGCTAGATTTAACTTAACTTAAACCTCGAGGTTTTAATCAAAAAAATCAAATTTAGATCAAAAAAATCAAAAAAAAAATCAATTTAATCGATTTAATCGAAAAAATCAGTTTAATCAATTTAATCAAAAAAATCTGATTTCAGCTGTTTCCCCCTTGGGAGTTTTGCATTTCGAGATTTTGATCTTTCGAGATTCTGACGTTTCAAGATTTTGTTTTTTTCGAAATTTTGTCTTTCGAAATGGTTCTTTTTAGATTGCTTTTCAAGGTTTTTCTTTTCGAGATTTGGATATCATCCCAATAAACTCACTTGTCAAGCTGGTTGTAGCCATTACATAGGAACTGGTCCGTGTCCAAATCTGAGTTGCACAATACACATTGATCAGCCATTTTCGAAGATTAAACTATCGTCTCTCAATACAAGGATAATGAGAACGTATGAAAATAAGCGTATCTGAAGTGAACAGCAAGAAGAACTACAGCGAAAATAGCAACAGCAAAAATGCAATATATATAGTGGGCCCAAAAATGATTGGCCAGTTCTTCGTTTGCTCTCATCCGAGTATACACGCATTCTTTCATTCTTTTTCGATAAAAAGCTACTTTTTCTTATTAACTTCTCCTTTTAACCTCCCCCCTCCCTCTGCTCATAATGAGCGAAGAGATTCAACTCATCGTGAGTACTGATCGTACTCAACTCAAGGTTGATAACAACTCCGGTAAATATTACACTCGTTCAGCAAATCAGCAACGCCAAGACAACGTCAAACAACATCAACAGGCATCGATTTCGGATCGGAATCACGACTCTAATCTTGCTCCACTTAATCAAGAGGAGCAAGCTAGAGCCGAACCAACTAAAACCAAGGGGGAAAAAGCGGATCCTGAATCCTTGGATCCTATTGGATCCTACTGGATCCTGATGGATCCTGATGGATCCTGATGGATCCTGATGGATCCTGCTGGATCCTAGAATCGATTCATTCAATAATACGAAAGTTCATCAAAAGCTAATTAGATACACAAAAATTCATCAAGTCTATTGGAAATTACTAAGCTGCATCGATTCTCGGTATAATTTTCCCATTCACACTGCTTTTTATGGAATAAGATAGCGTGGATCCTCATGGATCCTAGTGGATCCGGATAACGCTAACAGATCGTAAAATAAACAAGTCGAAATCTACGAAAACCTATCAGAACTTACTTTTTTCTACAAAATTCATTAGAAATAGATTAGTTTTTTAGGAGTTTGCAACCAATTTAGAACGATTTGTCCGGATAGATTCTTATGGATCCAGCGGGATCCTGTCGGATCCTGATGGATCCTGATGGATCCTAGGATCCGCTTTTTCCCCCTTGACTAAAACACTCAAAAAACGAACATTTCTACAGCAGAAAAAGCAACACAACAAAATAACGCAAAAGAACAACAAAAACAACAAAATCCAACCAGCACGTGGCAAAAAAATGTAGAAACAAGCTCGCCTCATCATGCACAAGATAAAAGAACAATAACAGAACACACCACCACGCCATATCATATGGACGATGTATCGGAACAAGAGAACGATGAAAGAAACGATGAATCACTAACCAACAATGATAATATGGACCAAGACAACACATCAGCGGTAAATAAAAGGACATTGAACGACAGCGACGATTTTATCTCAGTGGGGTCAAATAGAGTAAGAAAAAATGTTCACGTTGTAGGAAGCACTCAGGTGACTAAGAACCAACGAAACACAACAAATAACGAATCTAATTACACAATCCCATTAGATCATCTCCAACGAGCTGTAATTCATAATCTTCCATGTTTCGTTATCAGCTTCCGGGAGCTTGATAAATTACTATCAGCAGTAATCGTATCGGAGGATCTGCACGAGCATTTCGACAAACACAAAGTACAAATCATTAACGGCTTCTCAGTAGTTCGTTACATAGGGAACCAATTGAAAATTGGGGTGAAAAATCAAGACGATTATCAAACTCTATGTGACTACAAGGTGTGGCCAGTAGAAATCCAAGGGGATCTAATAACAGTAACGATACCGAAATTTATACCTGAGCAGTTTTCCTTAGTTGTACGTTTCATTCCACTTGAAATTACAACGGAACGAGTAGCCGAAGAAATAAAAAGATCTGCCAGCACGGCAAATAACTTCAGGGCAGTTGTCTACCCATACTACAAAAAAGACGTATGCCGAAAGCAGGAGATTAGTGAAGTATTCGTGTATAATGAACAAACAGCGTTCGTTACTTTCTCTGTGCTGGTTACAGCTGTGAAAGAAGAAGGAAAGGGTAAAGACTGACTAAAAATAAAACGGACATTGATTATGCACCACTCGTGAGGTTTCATTGTTGTATTGCGTGATCTAGTTTATGAGACGTATTGATCGCATAAAACATTACTCATTGGATTTTGATTGTGACAGAGAAAATTATTATATTGCGCCTACAATTGAGAAGTTATTTGCATTATGGAAGTTACTTCGTCTTGTGAACTAACGAGGGAAGCTCCCGAGGTGTCTAACGAGTTTAAAGTCCACCTTTTGGCCATAAGTAGATCTCAATGTGGTATGAAAAACTCCAAAATGATAAGAGCCCTTAGGCCTTCCTTCCATAGTTATAGCTTTTTTAGTAGAATTTCAGCTTGTAGCTCGGTATGCACCAACAAATCGAATGACATTATTTCGAGCTGAAATTTAGCCCACAGATAGCCATACTATGACTAGAATGCACTGAAAATTTCATCTCAAAAGAATGTTCTTTTCACGAGACATTGATTTCTCAAAACTAACTCGTA